TATATATACTAGTGGGTAATCAGCTGTGCACGCACAGCCGACCCAAATTCAGCCGATAATCAAGTTAAAATTTGGCGTCATTTAAACTTACGGTCAGACCCGATTCAATCTTTTTTTTTACCAGTCTTTTTTGAATTTAAGATATCTCGACATAATTTTAAGGGCCCTACATCAACATCATTTAAAGTGACTGTCAGTATAAAAAGTAGGACGTATATTTCGTAGCAGCAAACCAAAAGTTGAAGACCTCGTAAAAATCATATGTTGCATTGCAGTTGACACTAAATACATCACACACACTTATTGAAACCAGAAAGAAAGCTTGTATGTTCAAAAGTTATCAGGAGAAAAACTTTAATATGCAATCCAACATTTTCATAACACCACGTATATTCAAACAAACGAAACCTGAGCACCTCGCAAACTAATATCCACATAAAGAAATTTAAAACACACCCACAGCCAAGAAGATGAACCTTCTTCAGTGAGCAACTGTAGGGCTCTTTGCTTCCATTCGCTGGAGATGCACATTGCACGAAGCAACGGTTATAACTCGTCCCGCATGAAGAACAACTCCAAACTCTACTTAAGAATCTATAACATAAGACAAAATTATCCACTTTTTCTGCAAAACCACTAAATAAATTGTAAACAGAATCGCATCCAAAATGAACCGACGTGTTTCCTTCACTCTTTTGACAGGACCAAGAAAGCACAAAGAGAGCATAAAGTCAAAAAAAAAGCACCATGAACATTGCAGCTCGTCGAGAGTGAGTGAAATACTTCAGTTTATTAATGTAGAAAGAACCATTTTCGAGTCCATGATCACAATAAAGACAATTCTCCTCATTTCACAGAACATGTTGGACCTCAAGACCAAAATAGTGGTATGCTAACAACATGTTTTGATTGTTCATGATGATGTTTCTATAGATACTTTGTCTTCAATTTTCCAGGGTAATAGGGAGGGAGCTCTGAAACTTGGGGAAACACCCGTCATATTACACTATAGAGTTAATATATTTCAATGATTATTTTGCTTATTTATAACTTTTATTGTTGCATAACAAGATCCTGAGTTTCCTCTTCGTAATTGAAATGTTAAGATTTCGCCATTGTGATTTGGTACCTTCAGAATTACCTTATACTGAGTCAGTCTTACTCCTTTTCTGGTTAAATGATAACTTTGCCACCATAACTTGAAATCAGGCATTTTTGCAAAGTTAAACATGGATAATAGTACACCTCATCCACCGTCATTTACCCTTCCATCAGATGAATAATTCAGTAATTAAAAATATAACAATATGGTCAATTAGAATTATTTATAAAATTATAGCCATAAGATTGACTTACAATATCAACAACGGTCTGCAGAAGTTGACTCTTGCTTGCTGTCAAATAAACAGGATATTCTTCATCCTATTTAATCACAAACAAAGCAGATTAAGAGCTCATAAAAAACAAAAACAACTAAAAATACTAAGAAGTAAACTCACAGGCAGAAAAAATAATGTGAGCAAAATTTTTTATAATGAAATAAAGAAATCAAGGACCTTGTGGGCTTGGGCATTCGTTATCTGGCCTGCATTTTCTTTCTGGTACTCGGCAATCCTTGCTTCAATAGCAGGAATATCTACTCCATCGACTAAATTAACTACTCCAAGCAAACAATTAATTTTTCTTCAACTTAAAAGGTGATGCAAGAGTGTACGTTCATAAAACACAAACAGTATACTTACTCATGTCCTCGACTTCCTCCTAGTAGTCATTGTATTCCCTCAAAGACAAGAAATCCTATGCTATTTTGTTATAACTGCAAATTTCATGGTAAAGTTTTAAGTACCTTCACGAAACTTGATAATGCAAGGTAAGTTGAGAAAATAGACACGTGAACTCATGAAGTAATTTTTTTGCATACCTCCATCTTAAGCTTGACCATAGCTGAAAACTGAGTCAAGCAACTCAAAACTGTAGAGTTGAGAGGCTTATCAGAATTACCCACCAGCAGATTCAAATATAGTAGTGGAGTAAGAATATAACACCCTTAGTTCCCGCGAGCTGTTGGAGAAGAAGTAACCCGATCCCTATCTGAATGAGAAAAAAATAAATAAATGTGAAGCACACATGAACGTGTATCTTTTTCAAAGCAGCAATATAACATAAATGTCAAAAAATACAAAAAACATAAAATATATATATATATATAT